CAGAGTTGAGGCCCCTGCGTGTGTATGGGGAGCAGGCAGAGGCCACTGAGTTCCCAGTTCCAGGAGTGAGTAGCAGGAGTCTATTCAGCAATACCTCCCAGGAAGGGAGGCCAAATCAGAGCCTCAGGTACAACACATGGGTCTGTGCTGGGATTGAGGCAAGGGGACCTCCACTGGTCAGGGTTTCACCAAGGTTCTGCCTTCTAGGAGCATCACCCTTCACCACCGGATCCGCCAGGCCCCCAATCCACATGCAGCAGAGATCAGAAAATTTGATGCCCAACTTCGGGAAGGAAAAATATTCTCAAAGGAAGATCTTGCGGTGTAAGTGGTGGGCTCAGAGGTGGAGCTGCCCATTGGCAAGCTCACTGGATGACAGGTGTTACCTCACACAGGTACAAGAGCGTCCTGGGGAAAGCACGCAAATATGAGCTTGACCGGCACTCGGTCATCCTGTGCACATGCTCCTGTGCGGCATCAAGAAGCCTGAAAACTCTGAAGGTTCGACAGATCATTATCGATGAGGCAGGCATGGCCACTGAGCCAGAAACCCTTATTCCCTTGGTGTGCTTCTTACAGATTGAGAAGGTGAGGTTGGAAGGGATCTAGAACTGCTGCCTGGGTTCCTGGGGGCAGCTTAGCTGGGGTGCTAAGGGTGTAATAGTGAGCATTGCTATTGGTTGAAGATGGCCAATAAGCTGAGATGCCTCTGGCTACAAGGATGTCAAGATCATATCTAGCTGTGCTTCCAGGTGGTTCTGCTTGGAGACCACAAGCAGTTGCAGCCTGTGGTCAAGAATGAACAGTTGCGAAATCTGGGGATGGACCGGTCTCTCTTTGAGAGGTACCACAGGGATGCCATCATGCTGGACACACAGTACCGTATGCATAAGGATATCTGCTCCTTTCCCTCCATGGAGTTCTATGGGAGGAAGCTGAAGACCTGGTCTGACCTGAAGCGTCCACCCAGCATCCTGGGCCATGCTGGCAAGGAGAGCTGCTCTGTCATCTTTGGCTATGTGCAGGGCAGTGAGCAGAGGCTGCTGGTGTCCACCGAGGATGGCAATGAGAACTCCAGGGCCAATCCAGAGGAAGTAACAGAGGTGGTAAGTGTCAGAGCAACTCTCCTGGGTGCCTGGGTGGGTCAGGGAAAGCTTCAGTGGTCAGGAAGGCTGGGATCAAGTGAGGCCTCTGTGCTCAGGACGGAAGGCCTGGGTTCTAGCCCCATCTGCCCTCTCCTCTATTTAGGTCCGCATCACCAAGCAGCTGACCCTGGACCGGACGGTGGATCCCAAGGACATCGCCGTCCTTACACCCTACAATGCACAGGCTGCGGCAATCAGCAAGGGCCTCAGGCAAAAAGGGGTCACTGGAGTGACTGTGACCTCTATAACCAAGAGCCAGGGTGAGCCTGGCTCTAAGGAGGCCATATTTGTGTAGGGGTCAGAAGGGGGTTCAGTGGGTATAGAGCTGTGAATTCATCTACCATTCCCTCCCCATCTCCCAGGGAGCGAGTGGCGCTATGTGCTAGTGAGCACAGTCAGAACATGCCCCAAGAGTGATGTGGACCAGCGGCCAACCAAGAGCTGGCTCAAGAAGTTTCTGGGCTTTGTTGTGGATCCCCACCAAGTAAACGTGGCCATCACCCGGGCCCAGGAGGGGCTGTGCCTCATTGGTGAGGGGTTGCATTTCTGGGGAAGGCTAGGGCACGGCAGTGTCAAGCATGCTCAGGGCAGAACTAAGAGCCACCTTGATTCTCCCTGCAGGGGACCATGTCCTGCTACGCTGCTGCCCACTCTGGCACCGTCTCCTAGACTTCTGTGAGGCCCAGCACAGCCTTGTGCCTGCTGAGAAGGTGCGGGTCCAGAGAAAGTCTGCTTTATCTTCCTGAAGAGCTCTCACCTGCCCAGCCTTTGACGTGCCAGCGGCTGAGGGTATGTCCCTCATTCTTCTCTGCCAAGCCCCTGAGTATACAGTGGATTGCTCACAATCCCAGCTGAACATTAGTCAACCACCTCTGCTATCTTCTTGGAAACAGCCCTGGTATTGGCTGCAGTCTTGTAGCAGTGATAGTCTTATGGGCGGTGGCCTCTTCCTGGGCCGGAAGCAGGCTTAATAATGATGACCTTCCTGTTTGTGCCTGGACTTGAGTGGAGGGGAAAGAGCTGGAGGTGGGCCCCTTTGCTCCTGACTGTGTTTTTTCCTGGTGCATTTGGTGACTAGGACACCTCTTAGTGGCCACAAAGGACCCCAAGATATACCTTTGCTGTTACTGGGAGCCTAAACAGGAATGAGACTCCTCTGAGGCTGTACTTTGACACTGAGATCCATCTATGGTTGCACTGGGCACCATGTGTTCATTTGTCATATTTTCTAGTCTTAATGACCTAAAGCTAGCACTTCTTACTGGTCCACTCAGAGTGAGCAGGGAAGCCTTCCTGGAAGAAACTTTTTACTACTCACTGCCTTATGTCCTGAAGGGCTGACTGCTAGGATAGGAGCAAGAGGGCAGAGCCAAGCCAAATGATCACAGCCCTGCCTCCTGGGATGTGAAGTAGCAGCCTTGTGGTTAGGCAGCTGAGAATGAGGTACCCCAGTACCACTGGGACTATGTTTCTTCACCAAGCTGTCATGCCTGTATCCAGGGCTTTAAGACAACCTAAATCTAAATCTTTTTCTGCAGGACTGAACAGGTGAAATCTCTCCCTTCATGTCTCCCTCTTATATTCCCACCTCCTGGAAGTTCCAAGGCTGGAGCCAGCTCCCTCTCAGTGTGACTTCCCTCTCCTGAGGTCAGAGATGCTACAAGTGAGCTGTACACCAGGAGAGGTGAGGCTCCTAAGGCCTGGCTGCAGAACCTCCTATGAGAATAACATCTGGTGTCTTCTACAAATTAAATTTCTACATTCCATCTTTTAATCTTTTCTCATATACATATATATAAACTGTATACTTTTATATAACTGGATAATTTTATTATAAAATTTGCTCTGAAAGTTCTCATGGGTGTTTTGTCGTATGGGCAAGAGTAAACAGGACTGGCCTTCGTCTTGCAGCCATTGAAGTGGTCAGAGGAGCTGAATACAGAACCTAGGAGATGAGTACAGAACTTGGGAGAATGGGGAGAAAAGGGAGTGGTATCCTATCTTGTGACTGAGAAAACTGCACAGTCATAGGAAGCTAGTGGGTAATTTAGCAGAGATGGGCTGAAACTGGAGAGCTAAGTCTGCTGCTGTAGGTTTAGCAGACTGTTCTTAGTCCCCAGGCTGCAGCAGGTCCAAAGTCCTTATGACTGTGACTTCAATGACCACTTATCCAGTCCTCTAGTACTTTGGGCCCCACCACTCCCTCCAAGTCAACTTGTGACATCCATTCATTTTACCTTTGGCTTGTAGCCAAACAAGCTTATCCTAGCACAGCTGATACGAGGATGACAGGGCCAGGAAAAGACGGTGGGGATTCCTAGAGACACTGTAAGGAAAAGAGGTCCCCACAGCCTGTCTGCTGCTAGAGTTAGGGAGGAACAGCAGAGGGCACCAGCTCCACCTGCCCCCTCATCCACCTCGGTCTGCAGTTGAGTTTGGCAGGGATGTAATGTCCTGGCTGGGATCCTGGGGGCAGCTTGTGGCAGAGTGCTAGGGGTGTTATAGTTGAAGATGAGCAAGAGGTTGGGATACCTCTAGCTCAAAGAGCAGTTCAAGAGCAGCCATAAATAAATAGTGGAGTTTAAGGATGGATATGTACTAAAATAAGCAAGACATTCCTAGATGCAGAAGGATCTCCCCCACCTAGAGTCAGGGAGGGCTTCTTAAAGGGGCCTTGAACTTGGTGGGAAGTAATGAGGAATGGTTTTAAGTGGGTTGTTGGAGCTCAAGAAGAGAAGAAAGCCCAGATCCCATCAGGAATAAAGATGCAAGTGTGGTGGAGGTGAAGCAATGAGCCTTGGAAAGGCATCGACACTAGCAGGCAGTGCACAGGCTGGGGATGAGCTCTGTGAACCAGCTCCCCAGCACCTAGTGCCTGTAGTAACTCCACTGTGTCTCCACCTCTAGGTTACATCTCTCTGGGCCTAATGGGGCACAAGGCTGGGCCATAGTTGGGTGCAGGAGTCTTCTGGTCCTAGTCAGTCAGCATGCCAGGCTGCTAGACCTGCATATGCTTCTCTTAGCCAGCCCTTATTCTAGGCCTCCCCTCTCTGGTAGAATTACCATGACCAATACCTAGTCTCTGCCCATAACACACAGACCATTGTGGGTCCATTCTAGATATCTAGGATGACGCTATCCTGTGAGACACCCATAAGCAATTGATACTTTGACCACATGATGCCACAAAGAATGACTATTCTGATTGGTCCATCAGTGAATGGAGGTACCTGGCTTGCTACTCAGGCCGAGCCTCAATAGGCAGAGCACTTCCCCAGTGGGAGAAATGGGGGTCATTATTACTCCCCACCCCAATCCTACTCAGAAAACGACCCCTCTGCCAGTGGAGGAGGATTCCCTGTCTTTGACCACCTGTTCCTGCCAGGCCTAGTAGTCTCAGAATGACTATCACGTATGGTATGTGTGGTAGAGAGGAAGCTGGAATCAGAGTGTGCTGTGTCAGCTCTTATTCCTTTTATCAGCTCTGCTGCTCTGCCCAGGGTACAAGGTGTTATTCTGGACTCAAAGGTGACCAAGCCTGCATCTACCTCTGTGTGTGTGTGTGTGTGTGTGTGTGTGTGTGTGTGTGTGTGTGTGTATATGTGTGCGCGCGCATGCGTGCGCGCACGCTCCTGTTGATCTGGATGGAAGACATTAATGTCAAGGTGCCCTGGACAGCAGTGAGGAATGTGGTCACCTATATGTGCTGAATACCATCAACTAGCTAGCAAGGAGAATAAGTGCTGGGGGTGGTCACGCTTTAGAACCTAGGTACCACTGAATGTCTTAGAAAAGTTCCCAGACAGGCTTCCTTCCTGGGACCCTCACACACTTGGGGTGCCCATGAACTTCAGCTTACTTGGAAAGAATGTAAGATCTTTATTTTAAAAGTAAGACATCTTTGGTCCTGGGCATCCCTGCTCCAAGTCATCTGGGATGCTAACACCAAGGCTATGATGCCCCTCAGTGGTGTCCAGACAGGACCAAAACATCATCTTCCTCAGGGATCTCAAGCTAGGAAGCAGGTAAAGAAATCTGGTTATGGCTGTGAGGGTGAGGGACATATAAGGTGCTGAGGCTGAGAGAGCTGAGTTCCCTAGGGACAGTTCTCATTATTGGAGGTGGCAGCCAAGTACTAGCAGCCAGCACTTCCTGCTCCAGTGGACAGTGGTCCTGAAATGTGCAGCCTGGGGCTCTCCTGGAAAAGACAGAAGGCATAGGGGTTCTGGGGTTCGTGGGATTCTGGGCCATCAGGGAAACACTATGTGGTTGCTGTTGTCTTAAGGCCTAAGTTGTGTCTTTAATTTGGTGTGTGTATACTCCTCTTTATTAGTGGATAAATATTAGAAAATCATCTCTCAGAAGGTGTGGTCAAGGGCAGGCTGGGCTTGCCCAGCCGACTGGGGACAGGCCCTTCAGGGGGTCCTGGCGTGGTCTGCAAGGTGAGGCTGTCCCGCCAGGGCTCATACACCAGGGTGTAGCTTTCTGCCCTCTTGATAGTGAACTTGTAGGTACGGTTGGGCAACAGGTTGTGGACATCAAAGGTGCAGGCAGCCACAGGGACTATGCCACACTGTGTACACTCCTGTTGTGTCCGAGGCTCCAGCAGCTTGAAGCGCAGCTCATACTGCTCTGGTGCTGCTGATTGGATGGTAACAAACCAGCGCAGGCTGACCCAGTCCTGATGGGCCACTGACTCCTTCCGGTCGAACATAACTGGCATCTTCGTGCTTAGCATAAGCCGGATGTGTGGAATTTTGGTGGCTCCAATGTCAGATACCAGGCGGTGCTTGACATGCAGGTGCCCTGGTACCATCATAGCCAGGAAGTTGTCCATGACAGCCGACAGGTCTGCCAACTGTTGTTCCACAAGCCCCCAGCCAGCCAGGAAGGGCCGTGGGTCAGGGGCCTCAAGCAGGGCATCCAGTGCTGCTCGGCCATGGTCCAGCTGTTCCAGCAGGTCCCCAAGCAGCAGGAGCTGGATCTTGGTCTGTGCTGTGCCCACCTTCTTCATGCGCTGAAACTTCCAGGGGTCAATGAGCTGGAACATGGTGTTGGGCAGCACCAGTGGGTTCTGGTCACCTAGGGCCAGGTGCTTAGGGAGGATCTCAATGTAGTAGGAACACTTTTTGAGCAGCTGCATGCGGGCATGGTGGCGCTTGAGCAACTGGGGGCTCAGGTCTGTGGTCAGAAACTCACGCAGCACATTGCGTCGCTCCATATAGGTCCTCCAAGCCTCTGGCTCCAGCAGCTGCTGGTCCTCTGCTTCCTCCACCTCCTCTGAGTCCAGGAAGGAATGTGGACTGTCCAGCTTCATTTTGTCCAGGGCCAGGCCTGTCACCTGGAAGTTCATTGTCTAGGAGCTGAGGGTAAGGACTAGGCATCAGCTGTGATAATCAGACTGGCTCTGCCCCTAACCTAGGCCTTCTGTCTCACATCAGCCTCTGCCCCATAACGGCCTTTGCTCTCTCCTGGACCACAGCCTTCTGAGCAGAGACCCCTGGAGGGGAAGAACATTAGTGTGCATAATAGACAAAAGTAGATGATGGCCAAGAAAGTTCTATCAAGGGGCCAATAGTCTTTTGTGGTGATGAGCTAACAAGGTCAGAGTGGCCTGGAAAGAAGCTCTGGAATATTAACCAGTTGTGAAATAGGTCATAAGCCTCAGGTTCCTCACCTATCATGGATAATGGATGGTGCCTATGGGGCTGTGGAGAGTCTTAGGGTGACCCTTGGGGCACTGATGAATTGCCCATGCATCCCAATACTCTCCAGAGTCCTGGTACACCTCAGCACTGCTACAGTGCTTGGGGACAAGACTAACCAAAGACAGGACTCTACATCATCCTCATGTGGAGAGGGGCTTTGTTTGCCCAAGAACAGAGCAGACCCATCCTACCTTCCCACAGACAGGGAGTCTGAGACTAAAGCTTGGTAGGTTGGTCTTCCTTCATGGTTGCTTTTGATTTTGACATAGCATCTCACTCTGTTGCCCAGGCTGCCATCCAACTCCTATGCTCAAGCCATCTTCTCATCATACCCTCTTGAGACTTCAGGGGTGTATATTATTGTATCCAGTTCATCCCAAAGTTGGAATCATTGACCCCAGAGCCTGCCCTCCTCTCCTTGTCTCCCATACCTGGTCCTCAAATCTGGCTGTCTGTGGAGAGGCTGATGTGCCACAAAGCCCAGCAGCCAGAGCTCCCTGGAGAAGGGACCAACGTCCTGCCAGCTGTCCTTGGCACTGGGCCAGTGGCTTCACTTGGAGATTTCAGGTTGTGGAAACTGAGGTTGGATGAATGAGAAACAGAACTAAGAGACTGGATGACAAGCTCAAGGTCATCCACACAGGTCCCTACTAGTAAGGTTGATTCAAGTTGGCTGCGCTTCCCAAAGACCAATTCAAAGTGACTTGTGTGGGTCAGGAGCGCTAAAACAGGCATCAGGGACAACAGAGAATGGTTCCTGGCTGAATGCAAGCTGAGACCAGGGCCCCAAGACTCTGAGCCAACACAGTTCCTTGCAGCTAGAAAGTTCTGTGGGACTCTCCAAAACTCTTTTTCCCATCTAAGTTATTCCATTTCCCCTGTGAAGACTACCCACCCTGAGCCCCTGGGCACACCTCCCAAAACCATCTACCTACCGCTTCTCTTCCGGATCACCTCAGCGAGCCCCAGCCCCCCTCTGCAAGTGCCTGGAGCCCGCCTCCTCTGCGGAGCCCAGCGGGAGCCGCAGGGTGCACTGTCTGGTCAGCGCAGGCCCTGCCTCAGGTCCACCTGTTGCCATGGGAACCACTGGCCCTTGTGACGCTGTGCACCGGCCCAGGTGCAGGGAACTTTGATTTAAGGGCTGAGCTCAGATATGCGGCAGCAGCGATTTATGTATAGGGCCCCACGGACTCGAAACAAGCTCGACCTTAGCCCGTTCCACGTGCTAGTGAAACTGTTCAGCAGCTTCGTGCCTCCCAGCCATCCAGGAGTCATTATGGTGGCTGGGTCGACAGCCCGGCTTGAAATGGGGTTCCCTGCATCGCAGGAAATTGGTGTCTTTGAGCAGGGACAACTTTGGCTTCTGGGGCCCAAGAAGCCCGCAGGTGCCAGTGGAGTGCAGGGAAGGTGCGCCTGCTTGACATTCCAAACCAAGCTATAGCCTGCAGGTGAAGGGTGTTGGCTTTCCCAGACCTTTGGAAGCTCATGTTCTGTCCCCTCTAGTCTAGATAAATGGGGTTTCCATAGCTCCAGGGATCCTCAAAGGAATCCCAAAGTATAAGTCACCCTCAGACTCCAAACTGGGCTCTGGACCCCTGGATTTACTACCCAGATCCTCCCTCCTCTTTAAGAGCCAGCCTGAGGTTACTCCTAGCAAGGGTCCTAGGGGCTCAGACACCTGAAAGGGGCTGACTCATTTCCATACACTGGCTGTCCTTCCACAGAACTCCCAGCCCTCCTGGTGGCATCTGACAAGCCAGAGAGTAGCTTTCCTACCTGTCAATCTACATTGGCCACAGGTCTTGGAGGTCCTGTAGGGGGTGAAGTGATGGGTGCTGGTTCTGTGCTCATCTAGGCTAGCCATGGTGACTCGTTTTGGGAGTCCCAGGGACAAGAACTAGATTTTTTTTTTTTTTTTTTTTTTTTTTTTTTTGGTGAAAGGGATGCCATCTGAAAGTCCAGAAGGGAAACTGGTCCCTGAGAGGTAAGAGAATGAAAAACCACAGGAAAAATACCAGCTCCCCAGCTCTTCCTCAGGAAGGAGGTGGGTAAGGCTCACTATCCTGTTCTTCTTGGGGGTTGGGCTTGTTCTGGGCTTATGAAAGCTCCTCAGTCCACTATGTCTTTTTTTCACTCCTAATTTTTTAGATTTATTTTATTTTATATATTTATATATATAATATATATATATATATATATATATGAACATTTTATCTGAATGTATGTATGTGCACCATGTGCATGCTTGGTGCCCACAGAGGTTAGAAGAGGGCATTGGTTTCCCTGGAACTGGAGTTAAGGATGATTTTTAATCCACCGTGTAGATGCTGGCAACTGAACCCAGGCATCTGCAACAGTAACAAAGTTCCCTTAACTTCTGAGCCATCTCTCCAGCCTCTCTTATTTTTAATTAAAAAATTCATTTTGAGGTGTGCAGAGCCACATGCATGCTTTGCTGTGTTTTGTTTGTTTGCTTTTTACGGGGTGTTACCCTGTAGCCCCACTGGCCTGAAACTCTGTAGACCAGGCTGGGCTCAAATTCACAGAGATCCACCTTCCTCTTTCTCCCAAACTCTGGGATTAAAGGCATGCACCATCACAGCTGGCTCACAGCAGTTGTAAAGAATGATGGTCCTACAATCCCACTTATCCTTCATCCATTTTCCCAGATGCAAATTCTTGAAAAGTTGAAGCACCAGATCATACCAGGACACAGGTAGGTCTGTGACTACAGAGATACCCCATGGAGTCCAGCAGGGCCAGCCCATCTCCAAGTCATTCCTTGTCTTACTTTTTATTGCTGTGACAAGATACCACAACCAAGCCAACTTATAGAAGAGCTTTTTGGGACTTACAATTTCAGAGGGTGAATCCGTGATCATTATGGTAGGGAGCATGGCAGCAGGCAGCAGGCAGCAGGCAGGCATGGTACTGGATCAGTAGCTGAGAGTTTGCGTTCTTATCTGCAAGATAGAGGCAGAGAAAGCTAACTGGGGATGATATGGGCTTTTGAAACCTTAGAGTCCACCCACCTCCCCATGATACACTTCCTCCTACAAGGCAAACCTAATCCTTCCCAAATAATCCAACCAACTAGCGACCAACTGTCAAATATGTGAGCCTATGAGGGCCATTCTCATTTGAATCACCACATTCCACTTCCTGACCACCATAGGCTTGTGGTCATATCATAATGCAAAATGCATTTAGTACAGCTTCAAAAGTCCTCATAATCTTTTTAGAGTCTCAACACAGTTTAAAAGTCAGTCAAAGGACTCAAGGCAGTCTCTTAATTGTAAGCCCCTATTAAATTAAAACCAAAAAGCAAATTACATGCTTGCAACATACAATGGCACAGAATATACAATTCTATCTGTTCTAGCTCCTAGAAATGGATGGGATTCTTTCTTTTCTCCTTCCTTCCCTTCCTTCCTTCCTTCCTTCCTTCCTTCCTTCCTTCCTTCCTTCCTTCCTTCCTTCTTTCTTTCTTTTTTGAGCTGGATCCTACAAATTCTCTCCCTGCTCTGATCTTGGGGAGGGACTGAACTCTCCTCATCTATAGGAGGAGAAAGAAGACTCCTCTACCTTGAAGCTTTTTTGACAACAGTTCTCAGTCTCCTGTCTCTCGGCATTTCCTTGAGTTGATAAAAGATCTGGGGACCAGGACTGGAGAACAGGTCATTGGACAAAGCAGAGTCCTCTATTCTTGGCCATCAGTCTGTCTTTGGGCTCCAGCTACACATAGAATGTGCTAAGTCCCTGAGACCAGGACCCAGTGACTTTAGGGGCAAGGGAGTGTTCAGGAGGAATCTACACTCAGTGCCCTGAGCCTGACCTCACCATGATCAATGCAGAGGGGATCTCCCTGTGGCTTCACAGACTGAAGATAGGAAACTTAATTTCTTACTAGGAAGGTACATCATTCATGTTGAGGATTTGGGTGTGAAAATCTCCATTTATACCCAGCAGTCAGGTGTGAACATCAAGGCCCCTTCTGGCACTCCCTGAATTTTATATTTGTAATTACCTTTTCTAGACACCCACCAGGCTGTATCTCTATGACATGGAGCTTGTGCCTTAGGGTTCCTGTCCCTTTCAGGCTGCTCAAGCTGGGGATTGGGATTCTGCTATCTGGGATGCTGGAAGGCCAAAGCCAGTGAACGCATAGGTATCTCTAGTACATCAGAACTTGCAAATTGCCCCAGGTGCTTCAGAAAAAAAAGTCTCTGCTTCTCTAGAGTAGATGGGGGAAGAAACCTGTTTGATATGTTGGAAGTATAAGCAGTGGAAGAAGGATCTGCAGTAATTACATATGGAAGCTTAATAGAAACCACTCAGGAGCTGAAGTGTTGTGCTTGGGAGAGAGAAGCCAGCAAGGGGGCAGAGAGCCTGCGGGTAAGGCCCCCTCCTCAGACTGAAACAGGCACATGTTCAAGAACTAAGCTTTCTGGGGCTTGGTGAAAAATTGGGTGGCAGGCAGCTTGCTTCATTCTTCAGAAAGAGAATTCAGGATTAGGTGAGAGCCTGTCTGAGGCTTATCCACTGCCCTTTCCTTATATGCTGACCATATCCCCAAGCCAAAGTCCTAGATATCTAAGTCTCCTCCTCTCTGCAGTGGTATTAAGTATCTCCTGGCTATGAAGTGGCTCAGAAATCATACTCCATCCACACTTCCTAAGTACCTGGACCCTCACTGATGCCCCTACGATTGCTACCAGCATTTTTAAATACAGGAATCAGGATGCCAAGAGCTAACTGTGTGTTGAGCATATGCTCCAGAGGCCACTGCTAAGTTGGACAGGCTGCCCATACCTACTGCCATCTGGCCCTGAATGGGGCGGTGGGGCGGTAATGTTAAAGAATTAGTTAACATTTAAAAAACCAAATAGTATTTCAAAGACATATGGCCACTGGTGATAAGCTGCTCCCTCTGTAGACCCCACTCCCTAGGGCAGCTGCTGGTTGCACATGCCAGGCTAGCAGAGCAGAGCAGGGAGTGTACCTGGGAGTGGGGAGTTAAAGAAAGGGCTGCTAGTCCCAGTTGGCCCTCTTCTCCCCGCCCCTTCCCATAGGCTCCGCCCAACTCCGTCTAGCCTAGGAGCCTACTGCCAGCACAATCTCAAGCTCAGCTGCTTTTAACCCTAGCCGAGATCCTACTCACCAGATCACACAGCTGTGGAAGGATAGGAGGAGCAGCCTGTGTGGCCCTGGGCCGGATGTCACCCTCCGCTGAAACGTGCCGTGTGCCTGATTGAGGAGCCCTCTGTAATGACCTCCGGGGTTAGGGTTAGGGTCCGTGTCACCTGTCACTTCCCTATCCCGTGCCAAATAGGGTTGTGGGCAGGAAGCACGGGGTAGCTTGACTGTCCCACCAGCCTTTCTGGTTTCTCCCTCGTACCGTGGGCTCCTTGGTGCATGGCTGTAGTGCTCAGCCTTCTCAGCGGCAGCACTGAGGGAGATTACTGACCCAAATTGGCTCCATGCGCCTTCGCCTTCGTCCACAACCAGGCCCCCTAGGCATGGAGCCCTTCTTCCGGAAGCGGCTCACTTTCTTGTCCTTTTTCTGGGATAAGATCTGGCCAGCGGGTGAGTCGGAGGAAGACATCCCCCGGATCCAGGGACTTGACGACAACCCAGTGCTGGAGCAGCCCGCTGCCATTGAGCCTTGCAGCTTTCCCGCCCCACGCGCGCGACTTTTCCGCGCGCTCTACGACTTCACTGCTCGGTGTGCAGAGGAACTGAGCGTCAGCCGCGGAGACAGACTCTACGCCCTCAAGGAGGAGGGCGACTACATCTTTGCCCAAAGGCTCTCTGGGCCGCCCAGTACGGGACTGGTTCCAGTCACCTACCTTGCCAAGGCCACCCCTGAGACGCCCTCAGACCAACCGTAAGTATCTGGGCTTGGGATGTAGGGCTGAAAGGCTGCCAGGCCCAGTGGAGTATGTCAGGGTTTTGAGAGTAGGAAATACCTGCTTACAGTCAGTGAGGGCTTATTGAGTGCCTCCTGACACTGGGCTGAGCAGACGAGTGTGGCATAGCAGTACAAACAGGAAGAGCTACACTGTTGAGGGGGAACCCAGTAGTGAGCAAGTCCAGGGAACCAATAGCTGGATAGACCAGGTACTCAGCATAGTCATTTCAGGACCCTGCCTCTGTATAGAGGTTGTAATAGAATGCAGTGAGTGGTTGCTGTTTCCAAGCCAGGAGCTGAGGTCTGAGATGCCTTTACAGGTGATATAGTGTTGTACTGCTTGGAAATGTGGGGGCCACACCTGAGCCTCCAGGTGGCTCTGCAGGGTCCCCAGTACTTCCAGGCACTGCAAACCAGGCCAGGGCCTATCTTATCTATTCGTATTCACCCAACCACCTCAAATGGAGTCTAAATATGAGGCAGATATAGCCCTGATTTGTTTCAGTGAGTGGGTGTGGGGGACAGCCTACTCTTTGCCCACAAGGCTGGGCAGTCACTGGCAGAGAGTGGCTGGTTTTAGTGTCCAGCTCTTGCATACCAGCAAGGATGCAGCAGGGTCATGGCAGGAATCCATTGGAAGCACAACAACTTGTCTAGGAAACTGTCTCTGGTCTTGCACTCAACTGGTCATGGCCCGAGTCATCCACATACCAACCTCAGGCATTAGAAGTGCTCAAATCCATCTCTAGTCTCCTGAAGACCCCTCAGCAGTCACAGCCTCCCATCAGGTTTTATGTGGTAGGTGAAACTGAGCCATAGAAAGGGATCCAGGCACTTGCCCCATACCTGCTTGCTGGCCCCCAGCAGAGCGTAGACTAGGTCAAGTAGCTGTTTTGGTGGAGGGGTCCCTCAGGCACCCAGGTGTGGGAGACAGAACTTGTGAACAGTTCCTGCAGGCTGCTGGTATGACAGGCAGGGCTGGGTTCCTGGAGGCGGGGCTGCTAGTGGGAGAGCTAATGACTGCCTGGACCCGGAGATCAAAGCACTGACCACACTTACAGTGTCATTAGTCCCAGACATCTGGCCCTGTAATCCAGGGAGAGACCCTTGAGGCATATCCTCCAGACTTCAGGCTGTCACAGAAGCCCAGCTATATCCCATAGTGGTTTGTATCCTGTCATGGCTTCAAGGAAAGGCTGGGGCTATGTTGGAGAAACTCACACTTTTGGTCTTCCACAGTCTTGTCCTGTTGTCCTGAGAAGGGACCTCACCCCAGGGGCTCTTCACCTGCCAGAAGATCTCAGTTTCCTGCCCACAGATCCTATAAGTAAGGGCTCTGGCTCTTAGTAGAGACACAGGAAGCTTCAAGGGTCTAGACTTCCAGCTTCTGAAACGAGTTTGTGGACTTTCTTAAGCATGCTGCCCAGCCCAGGCTCCATCTGTATCCTTGATAGTCCCTCACATCCATTCAGCCTGCCAATACAAACTCCTGCTTCTCAGGCTTGGCCTCTGTCTCCTTATTTGCTAACATCTTTCTGTCTCAGCTGTGCTCACCTCTCCTGCTCCAGCCCAGGCCCACACCCTGGCCACACCAGTTCTTCTCCCACGTATCCCTAGGAGAGGGACTGGCCTGTCTGCTCTTTTGTGAACTAACTTGAGTCACACCGATTGTCCCCTACGACCTTGCCTCCATCTGAAGGAAGGACTAAGCTCACTTGCATTGCTGTGGTCTTCAACCCACTGGGTTTCTGGAAGTTCTCAGAAATGGAAAAGCTTGGATAGGAAGTTGAGCCAGCTGTGGAAACTTGCTTGGGCTTTGGGGACCAGAGGTGCCTACAATGGAGTAGATCTGGGAGTGACTTTATCTTTCTGAGGTTGTTTCTGGCTCCTAAGAAGGAAGGGAGTAGCTAGGCATGGTGGTATGTGTTTTTAATCCCAGCACTTGGAGGCTGAGGCAGGTGAATCTTTGAGACCAGCCTTGTCTACATAGTGAGTCCCAAGCCAACCAAGACTATACAATGAGATCCTGTCTTTAAAAAAAGAAAAGAAAAGAAAGAAGTGAATGGAGCCATACCTGATGTGACTTAGCTGTCAGAGGCTGGCCCACCTAGGCATGGCCCTTCAGAGGGCACAAGGTACTTAGAGTAAGCACCCCCCCAAACTTCTATTGTCTGCTTCTGCTAACATCCTGACCAACCTGCCTTAGTCTCCTTCTTCTGGGACCCCCAGATCCCATGTAGCCAATCTCTCAGATGAGCCATGCCCAGACAGATAACACCCCTGGTTCTTTCCCTGGTCATACTAGCAGTTCTGTGGGTGTTTCTGGGGCAGCCCCTGGGGACCTTGGTTCCCAGTGGAGCCCCACAGGGACTCAACACATTTTCAAGTTTGGGGTTTTGGTCTTTGTCCAGGGCTGTTAGTTTTTGGTGAGGCCTGGTGAACATAATCTGAGTGGAGCATGAGCGTTATATTAGAGTAACAGCCCAGGTTAGTGGACAGTCATACCAGTGTGAAGGAGATTCCAGTCACCTGATGGTGATGACCTGGGACCCCAGCTTCAGGCACTGGGCACATTTTCTCCCTGAGAGACAGCTGAGTTCTCATACCTTGCCAGGGTCACATGGCTGGGTCTGAAAGATGACTATTGTGTCCTGGATTTACAGTTGGTACTTCAGTGGGATCAGCAGGACTCAGGCCCAGCAGTTGCTCTTGTCTCCCGCCAATGCACCTGGAGCCTTCCTCATCCGGCCCAGCGAAAGCAGCGTCGGGGGATATTCTCTGTCAGGTACTCAGACAACCCCTCAAGACTTCATATCTGGGTGGGGTATCTTGCTCAGCACTACCAGGCCAGACCTTCTTGACCTTAGAGTGGTTGATCCCTATACTGGTAGCCCTTCATATAGACACGCTAGTCATCAAGTTCCCTCCCTCCCTCCCTCCCTCCCTCCCTTCCTCCCTCTCTCCTTATGTCCTTCTCTCCCTCCCTCTCTTCTTCCCTTCCTTCCTTCCCTTTCTCTTTCTCCCTACTTCCTCCATTCACCACCTAGTGGACTTAGTATTTCATTCAACAAGTACCTATTTAACATTCTTTGTCCCCAGGGCTCCCTGGCTGTCCTGTGGCCTGTAGCTGCTCATGTCCCCTCTTGTACAGAGTATTGTCCACCTCAATGACCCCATGGCCAAGCTGAGTGAAGCCACTTGGGACACTGGGGTATGGGTGTCTGAGACAGGTGTAGCCAAGGCACTGTTTTCCATCTCTGTCTCCAGTTCGGGCCCAAACCAAAGTCTGCCACTACCGCATCTGCATGGCACCTGGTGGCAGCCTCTACCTGCAGGAGGGCCGGTTCTTCCCCAGCCTGGATGCATTGCTCGATTACTACAAGACCAACTGGAAGCTGATACAGAACCCTCTGTTGCAGCCCTGCATACCCCAGGTGGACCTGAGATATTCCCCATATCTGGGGAATACCGAGGACCCTGTCTTAGAGTTTCTTGGCAAGCCTCTGGCCTAGACCTGGTCAGGGAACATCCAGTATCCAGTGGCTTCTTTATTTTGGTGGAGTTGGCCCCTTTACCATTTTTATCTCCTCTGAGGCTGTTGGAAGACTGGAGACCCCTGAGGAATATAAGATTCTTAATTCTGTAGGGCACCAGGAGGAGTTAAGGCTGGTGTGGGAAGGTTGCTCCAAGTCCTGAGGGCAGAAGCTAAGAGAGGAGATATTGTTTCCCCCAGTATCTGGTATTACTGGGTCCAGGGCAGCAATCTGGTTCCTCTGGTTCTGTAATGACAGCCTAGCCAGGGCTTGTAATGAGTATTTGTAGACGGATGTCCGGCTCTGGTAAGGGGGCCACATAGGTCCCCAAAGCAATTAGCTTCCTGCCCTGGGCTTGGCCTCCTGGAGGTCAGCTATGGTCTCTCATCTGTCCCTGCCTGGGCCTGGAGTAAGGGTGTGCTGGGGAGGGAGAGGCTGAGGCCTGATGTTGGGGCTCTTCCTGAGACTCACAGGGAGGCTAGGTTCAAATAGTAGCTCAGCCTTCCTGCCCACTCTGCTAGGGGAGTCTCAGGCAGCACATTGAGTGTCCCTTCCCACAGATGCCCCTGGCTCAGGACGAGTGGGAACGGCCACGCTCAGAATTTGTCCTTCGGAGAAAGCTGGGTGAAGGCTTCTTCGGGGAGGTGTGGGAAGGCCTGTGGCTGGGCTCTATGCCTGTGGCGGTGAAGGTTATCAAATCAGGTGAGGCCTTGCACCCAGGCTTGGGCAGCACTGCCCTCTGATCCTGGAGCCTGGGGCAGTGGTGGCCATGCACAGTCCTAGAGCAGCATTCTTTCCACAGCTGACATGAAACTGGCAGACCTCACCAAGGAGATTGAGGCACTGAAGAGCTTGAGGCACGAGCGACTGATTCGGCTTCACGCCATATGCTCCCTGGGTGAACCTGTGTACATCGTTACTGAACTCATGGGCAAGGGCAACTTGCAGGTCTACCTGGGCAGTGAGTAACCTCCACTTGGGCAGTGAATACCCTCCCTGACATCAACCTGTAGCAGCCACCTCTGCCAACCCTTATGATAACATTCATGCTCTGGGTCGACAAAGAAGAATCCTTAGGCCTTTGGAAGGGATACATGTGGCCCAGGTTGCAGACACCTGGTCCTACTGGGCCTCTGATCAGGAGAGGTATTGAAGCCAAGGGTCTGGGCCAGGCCTAGATTTAGCTGGTGGCTCTGAGGCTGGGGCTGCAGTTTGTGTCACCAACCTCTGATATATTGCCTTGGACCCAGTCCAGGTTGGGTACTCTCTCCCTTGGGGGTCCAGGCAGGTGCAGAGAAACAGCTTGCACTGAGGCCTGTGGTGAGTGCAAGACTTCCTTTTTCATTTTATTCATTGCCTACTAGGCCTTAGTAGATGGTGCTGCTCTCACTACCTCAGAGATGGGGGAACCAAGGCTCAGAGGAAGCACATGCACATGCTTGCCAGCCATCATCCTGTGCCCTCAGGAGTACTGCTACCCAACCTCTCTCTCTGCAGGCCCTGAGGGAAAGGCCCTGAGCCTGCCTCATCTACTGGGGTTTGCCTGCCAAGTTGCTGAGGGCATGAGCTACCTGGAGGAAAGGCGTGTTGTCCACCGGGACTTGGCTGCTAGGAACGTGCTGGTGGGTGATGACCTCACCTGCAAAGTAGCTGATTTCGGCCTGGCCAGGCTGCTCAAGGTCAGTGGGGCTCTAGGCTCCTAACCCCTGCAGAGGGGAAGGCATTACTCTGAATTCCCCACCATTACCCCTCATCCCCAGGATGATGTCTACTCCCCAAGCAGTGGCTCCAAGATCCCTGTCAAGTGGACGGCACCTGAGGCAGCTAATTACCGTGTCTTCTCCCAAAAGTCAGATGTCTGGTCCTTTGGCATCCTGCTATATGAGGTCTTCACTTATGGCCAGTGTCCCTATGAAGGTGAGCCATCTGAGAGGAAACCATGACTCATCAGAGAAAGTTTAGTCTGAGGGAGGTAGCCTGGGGTCCACCCTGGGGGAAGAGATATACACTGCCCTGGGAGTCACTGACCCCCAAAGGGACCAGGATAGGGGCTGGAGTACGAGCACAGACTGGTCATGTAGAGGCCTGGGTTGGGAGAATCTCCTTGGTGACACCCAGGCAGAATCAAGGCAGCTGCTGCCTGGCCCCTCTTGCTGGCCTCTTACCAGGAATGACCAACCACGAGACACTACAGCAGATCAGCCGTGGGTACCGGTTGCCACGCCCAGCTGCCTGCCCAGCAGAGGTCTATGTGCTTATGGTGGAGTGCTGGAAGGGCAGCCCTGAGGAGCGTCCCACCTTTGCCGCACTGAGGGAGAAGATGAATGCCATACACAGGCGTCTCCATCTGAGCCTCACGTGACCAGGTCTCCAGCCCCACAGGCAGCAGTTATGGCAACTGCTTCCGAAGGGTGTCTCCCAAGGAAACACCTGTCGCCAACACACGTGGGAGATGCCGCACAACTGGGAATGGCAACAGCCTCAGAGAACCCCATGCTGAGGGCCCTTCTCTGACAAGGGCCAGTACTTACATGTGCACAACACCAGATGGACACATGTAGACTGGGTCTGGTCGTGAGCACTTACTTAGATGTGAAGGCTGTGTCCTCCTCCTGGCACAGTTTGAATCCCTGGTGCCTCCAAAGTGTTGATCAAGTACAGAAGAGGAGCTGTAAGGAAGTGTACCAGCAGAGCCAGCAATTCCCTCTCTGCCCTCACCTCACTCTGGGCTTGGCTTCCTCAGCTCCCTTCTAGGATCAAGGACAAGAAGCCCAATTTCTCTCAAGTCTGACTGTGGGTTTGGTTAAGTATCCAGTGCTAGGGCTCCCAAGCACACCTCACCAGTACATGCTGTGTGCTCACAGGGGATGGTAGCATCCCCTGCCCATACCCCACTTTCCCACAGGTACTGGTAAACTCTAGGCACACAGAGCCAGCTTCAATAAACATGCTCCAATGGATTCACATACCAGTTCCCAGAATGGAGTGCTGGAGGCTCTAAAAGATGGGAGCCAGAGCTGCATTGCAGTGTGGACCCCCATGACATTAATGTTGGAGACTGCTGGAGCTCCCTGGCCTGGTGTTGAAGCCAGAAAGTTCTTCAGTTTCAGAAAGGGTGGACTGGTTGTTTGGTGGTCAGCACTCCCAGGCCTTCCCAGATGCAAAGGGATGGCGTCTCAAGACTGTTTCTTTGGAAGGGCAGTGATTAGGAGGCAGAATTTTCTGGTTGGCAGGTTTAGTCAGATAGAGGTAGGATGCTGACAACCAGACAACCTACTTTCTGGGGCAAAGCCCCCGTGGGTCACTTTTGTGTTTGAGTGTGACACCTTGAGAAGTTGGGCCCTGGATCATTCAACACTTTAGGGCACTAGGAGCCGTATACTGAGGATTAGGCGGCCTTTGCTCAGGGATCCAAGGCCATTTCACTCTCCTAGCAGCTGTCTCCAGAAGGCTGTAAGGCAGAAAGGCTGGCAGTCCCCTAAAGGGGATGGAATTTGGGGCCAGCTCTGCACCCACCAAAGCCAATTTGCTCATGATCACCGACCACATCTGTGGGTTGGCTAAGAGGGAGCTGGGTCACTTCCATGACCTATCTCTGTTGGCTAAGGCCTTCAGGAGGCCATGGGGAAGAGTGACCAGTCTGCTTAGGATGGGGTGCCTGCTGCTCTCCACTGCTGATCCAGTAGCTCAGTCATTCCCCACCCTGGAGGACAGACTAAAGACAGGTGCCGAGTTCTCCTTTGTCCCAATCCTTTGCTTCCCCCAGATTTCTTGATTTGATCTTTAAAGGTGGGCTCTCCCCGACTCCTCCACTTGTTGATTTAATTTAATTTTCTCTCCCCACTGTCTATGAGTCTGACTCTAAATGTCTCCTTTCCACCCCTCACTACCTTCTTTATTACAAATTCAATTAAAAGAAAAACAGGTGGAAAAACAAAAGAGGGAGCTGGGAACTGGACCTCACGTATGAAGTGACCCCTTAGGTACAGGAAAGAGTTTGGGGCTTAGCCAGTCATGGGCTTTCTTATGGGGAGGCTGGATGGAGGCAGTGAGGCTTTATCACTACGGGACCCAATCAACCTGACCACAGTTCAGAACAGAATGGTCCTAGAAGCGATGGAGGCCAGGCCAATAGAGTGTGCTAACACTGGTCTTTGTCGGTGGAAGGGGCAGTGGGATTGGACTGAGCCATGGCCCTGCATCTGCCTCAGCCTGCAGCTCTGACCTCTTGAGGGGAAGAATCTGGACCTGACAGTTGGCTGCCGTAGGCTCCCTATTTTGCCAGCACACAGAACAGCAGTATGAGCAAGGGCTTACGTGGCACCAGATGGTAGCATTCTGATGTTAAAGGGCTACCATGAGTCAAACGAGGAGACACTGGAGGTAGATGGCACAGCCTAGGGAGAAAGATGGTGCTGGGACTGTGGCCAAGCCGTGGAAGCAGGTTTGGCTGGGTCCTGGCACATTCTTGTGTGCTTACTCAGCCAAAGATGAGTAGGTTTGGCCCTCCTGGGAGAGGCCAGGGACTTTTGAGCTACCTGATGTATCTTCCACAGAGCTGCCCACAGGTCTCATCTAGGGACATGTAGCTGTCTGGGACACAGCTTGGACTAAGAGGCTCAAGACTCGAGGGCTCTGGAGCAGACAGGGGAGGCAACCATGGAGTTCTTGAGGCTGAACTCTGCCATCCTTATTCCTTTCCTCTTCCTGTGATGCCCTTTTCCCACACCTTGTTGGGAACTGAGTTGGGCTGGGTAGGTGTGAAGCTACTAAATAATACATGTTGCTGTTCTTAATCCTAATAGGAAGCAGGTGAGTAGTGCTATATCTCTTCAATGAAAGAAAATTCAAGGCCTGGCACACTGATGGAACATTTGTTTACATGCATGTGGACCAGGATTTGATTCTCAGCATGAAGCAACAGCACCACCACCACACTCCCCTGCCTAAAAAAAAAAGAAAAAAGAAAAAATAGCAGGACAGTGGTGGCTCATGCCTTTAATCCCAGCACTGGGAGGCAGAGGTGGGCGGATCTCTGTGAGTTTGAGGTCAGTCTGGTCTACAGAGCGAGTTCCAGGACAGGCTCCAAAGCTACACAGAGAAACCCTGTCTTGAAAATACAAAAAACAAAACAAAACAAAAATATTCAAATAGGTAGTCTTATACAGTGTTGTTTCCTGGGCCACTCATCCTTACAGACTTGTCAGTTCCCTTTCCCACCCCTCTTTGTGGTTGTCCTCCAGACCCCTGTGTAGGAGCACTCCATAGTGGACAGCCAGAGTGAGGAAGTGGTTGGGACCGCTCTGGAGAGGGGGAATCTTTGGAGTTTTCAAGGTTTAATGGGAGGAGGGGCAGGCAGGAAGACTGGAACAGTCACAAGCTGCAAGGAATTGGGGTAGCATGGGAGGTGAGTTGAAAGAGGCCCCGGGGTGGGGGGGCCACAGAGCAGAAGGGAAGCCTGGGAAGGAGGGCGGTGAGGCTGCAGAGGCCCTGGTGGTGTGGACACTTCCTAGTTATTACCTTTTGTGGCTGCCCTCTTGTGTCCTTATCTGGGAAGACAGGGCAGTGCCTGCTTCTTGGGCTGAGGTCTATGGACTACAGGCATGTCAGAAGATACCAGGAAGCTCTCTAAACCAGCCCATAACCCACATGGATGTTTATGCTTTCATATCCTGTGGCTCTGTCTCCTCAGCTGCCAGGTTGTGGTCTAGCATGCTGTCCTGGGTGGTTTCTTCAGGATAGATGGGCATCTGAGTGTCCTCACGTCAAGGAACCGGAGTTTTGTAGCAGAAGCTCAGGCTGGGGAATGTCCTCTCAGTTCACAGGTCTCACCCAGGCCCCTCCTACTCTTGTCCCCAATGCAGGTCCTGCCTGATTCTCATGATGCCATGCCTAGATCTAGTTCTGTCAGTGTCTGGGGGGTGGACACCTGCCCAGACGGCTGTCAGGACTGTCAGGTCCTGCGTAACTCTCAGTATTTGTTAGTGTGTGCAGGAGGGAAGCCTCCATTGGCAGAAGGCACTGGCCAGTCCAGGAGAGTTTTTTATGTAGAAAAAGCAGCATCTGGCTCTCTACTCTGTTCCTTGTGTGTTCCAGCAACCTGCCCACCATCCTTGAAACTTCCCTCCACTGTCCCCTCTCCATCCTTGGGCTCCAAGACTCACACCGCAGGGGCTAAGGGTCCAGTTGATACCTGTATGCTCGCCGTCTAGTGGGATATTCCGTGTAACTGTGATTGGGGCTTGTCAAGGGGTGATTTAGATGGCAGACTTCCGCTAAAGATGAGTGTGAGCATTCACATGATTTGATTCTGAGGACAAAGAACGTAAAGGGCCAGAAGGGCCTTTGGGGTGGAAACAGGATAGTCCAATGGGTGCTGGGTGTGGCTGCTCTCCTTTCAGGAGGAAGTAGGTGTGACTGGCTTACCGGGGAAAAGCCCTGCCTACCCCTCCCAGCAGCAAGTGTTCATACACAGCTCACAGCTGGCTCTGCCACTGAGCCTGCCATGTCGTCGTGGGACAAGGACCACCTGGGCTCTAAGTACATGGGCCTCTGGGACTTCAAGGCACGAACAGATGAGGAGCTGAGCTTTCAGGCAGGAGACCTCCTGCATGTTACCAGGAAGGAGGAACAATGGTGGTGGGCCACCTTGCTGGATGCGGCAGGCAAGGCCTTGGCTGAGGGCTATGTGCCCCACAATTACCTGGCTAAGAAGGAAACTGTGGAGTCTGAGCCGTGAGTGGCCCTGGAGAGCTGGCACAGGGGAAGGGGTGGGCCTTGGGCTGGACTGGGGCAGCCAGAGGGTGTAAGATCCTAGCTAGACATTCAGTTGGTCATACTCTGATCCTTAACACCCTGGCACGCAGGGTTGCTGGTGTGGCCATGCCTCTGCGTGACACTGGGGAGTGGGGCCTCCACTTTGGAGCCCACCCATGACCACTTCCAAAAAGTCGTAAGTACCGTTTTGCTAGGACCCAGATAGGACAGGACAGAAGGGCCCAGTGTAGATTTTTCGGAGGGTGTGAGAGACAAGATCTGTGTGGGAATTCAAGAGCTGTTGGGGGTGTGAAGTTTGTTCACTTTCCAAACAGCCAGAACCAGATGTGCGACCTAGTTAAGGGAGACAGAAGGCTGCTGGGGCACACCTGTCTGTATCACCTGTTGGGGGTACATGGTGCAAACAGTGATGTATTTTCATGCCCCTCAAGCACCTTAATCCATTGTCCTGGTCACCCACATACCTGAGCCCTTAGAGGCTTTGAGGAACTACAATAGTGCTTGGTGTGGGCATGTCCACAACCACCCAAGGACCCAAGCTGTATAGGTTGCTCTGGGCTGAGGCTGGGAAGGGACTTCTTATCCAGAAGGAGGGATTTCTTGTTTCCTACTCCTCATCTCACAACGAGCACCTATTGTATGTAGCCGGAAGGTTTCTGCATCTAGCCTGGCCCCGTGGTCCCCTTCCTCTGGTTCCGCCTGGCCCCATGATCCCTCAGCTTCTTATAATCATTCAGAGGCTTAATATTACTTACAAACTGTATGGCCTCTTGCTAGCTAGCTCTTATAACTTAACCCATTTCTATTTAAAGTTGCCATGAGCCATGGCTTACTGGTACTTTCACATCTTGCTTCTCCTGAGGGCAGCTGGCGTCTCTTGCATCTCCACCTTTTCTTTCCTGTCTCACTCCTTGGATTTCCCGCCTGCCTCTAAGCTGCCTTGCCATAGGCCAAAGCAGCTTATTTATTAAGCAATGGGAACAACATATATTCACAGCATACAGAAAGATATCCCCCAGCAATTGTGTGTTCAATGGAAGATCGTGAGCACACAGGAGACAAGAAACAAGAGTAATAAATGATACCTAGGACAGTTCCAGAGATAGGGGTTCATAATGGAAACAAGGTAGGCATGGGTGGTGTACATAAAAGACTAAGAAGAATCAGGTGGTGGCACGTTTTTAGCACTCAGGAGGTAAAGGCAGATGGATCTCTAAATTCAAGGGCAGCCTGGTCTACATAGAGAGGTCCTGTCAGAGATAGACAGAGACAGAGAGACAGAGATAGAGGTCAGACAGAGGGAGGGAGGGAGGGAGAGAGAGAGAGAGAGAGAGAGAGAGAGAGAGAGAGAGAGAGAGAGAGAGAGAGAGTCAGTCATGTGGCCAATATAGCAAGAGCAAAGGCCCTGAGGTCCTGAAAACCTAACACAGATGAAGTCGGAGGAGGAGCAAAGCAGAGGAGGTGAAGTGGTCGGGGGTTAGTGGGAGAGATTCTTTAGCTTTGCAGGACTTGAGGAGGTGGGCTTCAAGGGCTTGAGCTGAATGTTAGGCTCCTATGTGGAGCCCATGTTCCAACCACTCTTGAGGGAGTTGGAGACTCCATGGGCAGAGATCACCTATGTAATTCCACAGACTTTCACCTGTAGTTCAGTTCAGGCATGTCCGTCCCTCCTGTTGGAAGCCAGTAGGTACAAATGCTTTTGAATGGGAGAGTATGTGCATGTGTGCCATTGTGTCTGTGCAAGTACATAAGGGTGTGCTTATCAGTATATGGGCATGCTTGTGTAAGTATGCACATGTGAGTGCATGGATGGGTATGTGTGTCTGTGCACATAAGTGTGCATGTGCAAATGGCTATGTGATTACGTGAATATGTGTATGGAAGTGTAAGCCAGGAAGAAGCACTGGGGAGCTGCTGTTGAGATCCCTCTCCCACCTACTTCTGGTGGGAGGGCTGATGTCTGTAGCTCTGATCCCACAACCTGCTGAAGACATCCACATGATGGGACTGCAGGCCTTTGCAGGGTGTGGGGGAGGGCTGATCCACAGGTGGTCATCGTTCACCAGACAGTAGACTGTGCTTGCCCATCCCACTTCTGGGCCACTAGGACTTTCCCTGGTGTCCAGAACCAGCTATTTAGGACTTTCAGGGTCCATGATAGGCCGAAAGGCCTCTGCAGGGTTGGGAGCAGCATGAGAGACAGCTTGGTTGGGGTTGGGAGTGTGAGATAGGAGTCAGCGGTAGCTAGGACTCCAGATAGACAGGGAAAGGTTAGATAGTTGAGATACAGGCTGGATGTGGGGCTGGGGTAATATACTGAGGCTGACTTTCTCCCCTGCAGGTGGTTCTTTGGTGATATCTCCCGCCTAGAGGCCACGCACAGGCTGCAGGCTGAGGACAACTCAAAGGGTGCCTTCCTGGTCAGAGTCAGCCACAAGGCAGGAGCAGACTATGTTCTCTCTGGTACTTCTTCTCAGACCTCCCCTCACCTATGCTAGCTCTGTGGCTTTCCTGACCACATGGTGATCTGCCTTTCTTCCAATTGTGAAGTCTGGGACATCTTCCTTTTCCACTGGAAGCTCTGACCCCTCCCTGTGGTCCAGCTACCCACTTTCAGCCTTTGAGAAAGAAAGCCAGACACTCTTCAGGTTGGGTTGTTTGCCTGTGCTTTCTGGCATGTCCTATGTGTGTCATGGAAACCAAGGCTCCACAGGTGTCCCACTGTACACACAGCCCAGTAACCTAGGAAACAGAACAGTCATGGCTTATGACAGGAGTGCCAGGTAGCCACGTGCAAGCCGTGTCCATGGTGGAAGTAGGGGCAGGCAGCGGGGAACATGCAAGGTGGGATGCCTGCTTACGCCTCCTTCTGCCGGCCACCCACCTCAGTGCGGGACACTCAGGCCGTGCGACATTACAGGATCTGGGCAGACGATGTGGGCCGGCTGCATCTGAATGAGGCGGTGTCCTTCCCCAGCCTGACTGAGCTTGTGGACTACCACAAGATCCAGAGCCTGTCCCATGGCCTGCAACTGACTATGCCCTGCTGGAAGGTAGGCCACTGTCTCCTCTGTGACACAGTTGCTCGGGGTCAGACAGGTAGAGTACCGTGCTGGGGCAGGAGGGGCTCGGAAGACGGTATTCCTCTTGGCTGTCACTCTTACTACGCTGGCTCACCAGAGCTCAGTTGTTCTGCTAAGTCCTGACACCTGGTAGGCCCGGTGACAAGGGTCACTGGCCAATTGCCTGAGGGGGCTTATTGACCTTGGTGGATGAAGACAGCTGCATTTTTATGCAGGACACTCCGATACTACTATGCTGCATGTAGCTCTAAATTTAAAATAGGGCTCCTCCTGTCGGGTTCAGAGCAAAGCCTTCCTGCAGACAAGCTGAGGGACCCAACTCCTACTACCAACATCGCCCTTTCTGTCTCTCCAGCACAAAACTGAGCCCTTGCCCCACTGGGATGACTGGGAGAGGCCAAGGGAGGAGTTCACACTCTGTAAGAAGCTGGGGGCCGGCTACTTTGGGGAGGTCTTCGAAGGGCTCTGGAAAGGCCAGGTCCGTGTGGCTGTGAAGGTGATCTCTAGAGGTGAGCAGGCCCAGGCCCAACTCAACTTGGTCACATGCTACTTGCCCACTAGTCCTGCCAGGGGGCACTTCTGGTCTCTCCCTGCTGGGGGCATCCCAACGTATTACTGGGCACCTACAGCATCATGGTGAGAGTAATTTCTTTCACTTGTATCCATTTTTATTGAAACAAGTCACTGGAAATTTGAGCTTTACCTAGAATCCCAGCCTCACCCTCAGGTTTATACCTGATACCTCAAGGATCAGGTAAGCCAAGACCTTGTAAACATCTAGCTGGCAAATGTTGACTTTGGCAGTTGTGACCCAGTAGGGCATAGGAGGGCAGATGGACACATCAGGCTTGGGGCACCGAGGCCTTGCTTGTGGAGGCTTTAGTGTCGTAGGTTGGGGGCTAGCCTTTGTCTTCCTAGGCTGACCACATTTCCTGAGCTGCTTCAGGCCTGAGCCTCCAACCTGGGCACAGGCCAAGGGCTGTATCCACTGAGACTGGTGTCTCTCAGATAACCTCCTGCACCAGCACACCTTCCAGTCTGAGATCCAGGCCATGAAGAGGCTGCGGCACAAGCGCATCCTGGCACTGTATGCTGTGGCATCTGCAGGGGACCCCGTCTACATCATCACGGAGCTCATGCCCAAGGGGAGCCTGCTGCAGCTATTAAGGGGTAAGTGGCAAGCTCCACACTCCTCTCCCTGAGGTGAAAGTGTTGGAGGCAGCAGGAGACTCACACAAAAGAGCCAACAGATATGCAGATGCTAGTCGTCCATGCCTGACCCACACAAAGTAGCCAGGAGTTCCTAGGTGAGCCTGTTGCTTTCTTGTTTAAGAAGTTACTTATTTTTTTTTTTTTTTAAAGTGGTGGTTGGTGGGGTGGGAGCTGGAGAGATGGCTCAACAGTTAAGGTCATTTATTGTTCTTATAAAGGACCGGGGCTCAGTTCCCAGCACCCACATGGTGGCTCACAACCATCTATAACTCTAATTCAAGGGGATCTGACATTCTCTTCTGGCCTCTGTAGGCACCAGGCATGCATGTGGTACACAGAAATATATGCAGGCAAAATAATCAGACACATAAAATAACTAATGTAAAGCTAATCATAGAAGCATGCATCTGTTATACCAAGGCTCCAACAGTGAGATGGGAGGAAATGGAGAATCCTTATCTGGCTCTGCAGCAAACAACAAAAACCCTCCTTGACATGTCAATAGTGAAGACTAACACCCAAGGTTGTCCTCTGACCTCCACACACATGTATACATACACAGCAAAGAAAAAAAGCCATTGACTTAAAATATGACAAATCTACCAATTGCTAATCATAAAATTTGAAAAGGTACAGATAAGTACAGAGAAGAGCACCCACCCACAATTCCTATACCCATAGTTAACTGAGGTCACTATACTATAGGTTCTATGTAGCCTGCTAGTGACCTGCTTCAGCCTACCAGCTTCTCTCTCTTCCTGAGACCTGATGTTCAGTCATCCCTATACATACTTACATCCAAACACACGTAAAACACTGACATACACAAATACAGACATTCACACATGGCACAGACACACCCTCACACATGTAGGCACAACTCATCTCACCCACAAGAGGACACCACTGTCTGTTTTCTTCAACACAAAACCAGACCATCTCTACTAGTTAAGATGCTGTGCAAAGATGCCACCAACTTCATACAACAGGGGAAAGGGAATGTGGCAGTGTAGGACAGTCATGCCTGGGGGTATATGTATTAACATATCACTAGCTTTTAGAAGATTAAAGTTGTATAGTCTACGGACTTCATAAGTAGTTTCTGCAGGAAGTAGGCTTCAGAGGCGAAATGCACGACCCCTGTAGGTGGAGCACTTGCTGGATGTACAACCTTTAGAGAGTTCTATACCAAGAATATCTTGCAGCAACATCTCTGCCCTTAGATTGCTTTATAATTTCCAGAAGGGGTGTGGGACAAAGAGTATGTGTGTGCTCTTTGTCTCTAGGTACTGCAGAAGGTCTAGGACTGTCCACTTTCCAAATAAGCCAGATCAGCTGCCCTTTGCTGGAGCCTTCATAGTCCCAGCAAATGAGGATTGAGTTCTGGCCAACTGACTCTGGCCTCTGATCACTCTGCAGACTCTGATGAGAAAGTCCTGCCTATTTCGGAGCTGGTGGACTTTGCATCACAGGTTGCTGAGGGCATGTGCTACCTGGAATCTCAGAATTACATCCACCGTGACCTGGCTGCTAGAAATGTTCTCGTTGCAGAGAACAATCTCTGCAAAGTGGGGGACTTTGGGCTGGCCAGGCTTGTCAAGGTAGGACCCTCGGAGGTAGAAGCCAGAAACAAGTCTTGAGCTGAACCCAGCCGTGGGCAAGATAGAGCTCTTGATAGGGTGGCATTATCAGGCAAGGAATGGCTTCATCCATACAGCCACAGCCTTGTTTATGGCCACACTGGGCCAGCTCTGGGTACCTTGTACACAGCCACGTACAGTGAGCTTTTCCTGTCCTCACACATTGCAGCTCTCACCTTGTCATGGCCCTCCCTGCCAGAATCCCGGTGAATTGGCACTTTTGATACACAGGACCTAGCCATGATTCTAGCAACATTGGTAGCAGTTATCTCTCGTAGCAGTGGGGTGGTGTCAGTGGGTCAGATGATAAGGCAGTGTGTTTACATGTGCCCACTAGGACTTTGGCATCCATGCCTGTCCATGCTACACAGGAAGGGGACAAGGGCAGCTCCCTCTAGTGTCAGGGCCCCACCATAAGCCATCTTCTCACAGGAGGACATCTACCTTTCCCACGACCACAACATCCCCTACAAATGGACAGCACCTGAGGCACTCTCCCGAGGGCATTACTCCATCAAATCTGACGTCTGGTCTTTTGGGGTTCTCCTCCATGAAATTTTCAGCAGGGGGCAGATGCCCTACCCAGGTATTGCCCCAAGAATATCCCCAACTATGGATTGGCAGTGAGGTGGAGTGGGGGCAGGTTTTGGATGGCTGACAGAGATGACAGGAGGTGCTTTCCAGAGCCTCAACCAGACCCCACCCCTGTTCCATTCCTTGAGCATCCAGGAGTACACTGCTGAGATCACCTCCTGGAGACACTGTCCTCAGGGAAGTGTCTGATACACAGCCACAGATGGTGTGCTAGAAAATGTCCAGAGCATGGTGGTGGTCATCATTCTTGTTGGAGACAACATCCAGGGAGGGACCAAAGGCAGCTGGGTGTGGCTTCCAGGGATTGGAGGGTGGACATTAGCCTCTTAGCTCTCATTTCTCTTCTCCCATGGGCCACAGGCATGTCCAATCATGAGGCCTTCCTGAGGGTGGATGCCGGCTACCGCATGCCATGCCCCCTGGAATGCCCACCCAACATATACAAGCTGATGCTCAGCTGTTGGAGCCAGGATCCCAAGCAGAGACCTTGCTTCAAAGAACTGTGTGAGAAACTCTCAGGCATCACCAGGTATGAGAACCTGGTCTAAGCTCCTTGGACGTGGCCAGGACCCACAGAAGAGAGGCTTCATGATTATTCTGGACCTCCATTGAAGGTGTGCACCATACTTCAGCCTACTGAGATGAGGGGATAGGAAACATGCCAAACATACCTCAGCTACTGCATGCTGTCAAGAAAAGAGTGAAGAGGGTGCTAGACTACCTTCCCATCTATCCTCTTTCAGGAGGCAGTCCACAAAATCCAGGCAGCCATCCTGTCTTCTTCCTCCCTTCTCCTGTGGAGACTTCATGTGACAGAGAAGCCAAGAGTCTAAGCAACAGGCCTGTAGAATTCTTAACAGCATATCGCTTTCAGAGCATACCTGTCCTTGGTCACTCCTCTGCTCAACTGCACACACACACACACACACACACACACACACACACACACACACCTTGGCACCTTAATTCTACAGGCTCTTATGCTACAGAACAAGTTTTGGAGCTTCAGGTCCTTTCCCTTAAGAGACAGCTGTTTCTGTCCTGAGCTCCCGAAACAGAACACTCTAGAAAACTACTGACCTCATGCTCTGCCTCATCCTCCAATACAGTTCTCAGAGATATAACTGTCACTAGATAGGGAGAACACAGAAAAACATTTGGAAACAGGGCAAATTAAAACTCTTAGAACTAAGTCTTTTGCATAGACATTAGTCAAAAATTTTCTAAGTAACTGAACCTTTCATTTTTGCCAAGAACAGGATTTGGGCCAGGCTTGGTGGCACATACCTTTAATCCTAGCACTTCAAAGACAGAGGCAGGCAGATCTCTGAGTTAGAGGCCAGCCTGGTCTACATAATGAGTTCCAGGACAGCCAGAGCTACATAGAGGCCCTGTCTCAAATAAAACAAAATAAAATCCCATAAAAACAAAACAAACAACAACAACAAAAAAACCTTCACAATTCTGTTTAGACTGGTCTGGAGATGAGTGCTCATTAAATATCCCTAAAACCTCTCAGAAATACCAGAACAAGGTCAAACGTTCTTAAAGATCATGATTTAGAATAATCTTTAAGAGTGTTGGTAAGATAAAAAACAGGTATGTTTTCAGCTATGTCAACACTGAATACAATACAGCTAGACCAGTGGTTCTCAACCTTCCTAACGCTGCAACCCTTTAATACAGTTACTCACGTTGTGGTGAGCCCAACCATAAAATTATTTTTGTTGCTACTTTATAACTTTGTTTGTTATGAACCATAATGTAAATATTTTTGGAGATAGAGTTTTGACAAAGGGGTCATGACCCACAGGTTCAGAAACACTGAACTAGGCCTCCCCCCCGCCCCACCGCCCCCAGGGTTTAAACAAATTTGTTAATTCTACTGAGTATTTAAAATGCTGAGACTAGGAATGGAAATCAACAGTAGCATACAAAGGAAAGACATGAGGGGTAGATGGTCTTTGCTTCGGTGGTGTTGGTGACATTTGCTTGATTTGTAAACAATAGCAATTTTGTTGACACCTTGTGAAAAACCTTCATGACCATAACTGTTGAATGAACAGGAATGTAAGTTGAGTGAAAGTTTAAATAAACTTTTCAATAATAAAAGTCATCTTAAAACCTTAAGTTTGTTAAGGCTTGGGAAATTTTAGTTACTAATTCAACTTTGGGTTAATTCCTAAGGAAACATAAACTTAAGCTTGTGGCCTCTTGATCTTACACACGATGGATGAGCTAGGTGTGCTTGGGTCTGTAGTGAGTATGAGAAGCTGTATAATTTGAAGGACATGCTGCTCCAGTGCCTGCAAGGGTTTTCTTCAGTGGCATGCGGGCATGGGTGCTTACTTCCTAGTTTGCACTAGAACTAGGGAACCTAAGAGTTAAGAATGATAATATATGTAATTAGAACCACTAGAAATAACAAGGAAAACCACCTATGTGCAAAGCAGACAAGGAAAACTCCATTTGTGGAAAGGTGGTCGTTTAGAGAGGAAGATAATCATTGAGTGTTCCAGTTTATGAGAAAGAAAAATAGGGAGAAAAAGCTGACAGATCTCCTCCCCCACTTTTTTTTCGAGACAGGGTTCTCAAGTGTAGCCATGGTTGTCCTGGAATTCACTCTATAGACCAGGCTGGCCTAGACACACCTGCCTCGGAGTGCTAGGAATAAAGGCATGCACCACCACATCCAGCTTGTTGATACTTTTCAGATACTCAAAGGCCTAGTGGAATGGAATTTTATCTCATGTAGTCAAAGCTAAGGACTGAAAGGATTTATTTAGAGTTCTTTTAGATTAGCTTAGGGGTTGAGGCCATAGCTCAGTTGGTAGAGCACTTGCCTAATAAACATAAAGTCTTGAGTTCCATTCACAGCACTTGATAACCAGGTAAGGTGGTGCACACCTGAAATCTTCGGATCTGAGAGATGAAAGCAGGAAGGTCAAAAGTTCAAGGGCTTCCTCTTCAACATGGCAAGTTTAAGACCAACCTGGGCTACGCAAGACCTTGTCTTAAACACACACCCCCTTTTAAAAAAAAGGAATCATTTTAATAATAATACAGATATAAAACTAGTTTAGCATTATGAGAGATGTCTATTTACAAGTTCCAAAATCTTGCAATCTTAAGCTAGTTTAACTCAGGTAATCAGCCTAGGGTTTGTGTTCAATCTCATGCTTCCTTCATGTTGTGTGTGACTCAGTCTTTGATTATTGAAAGACAAGTTTTGCTCACAACCACATAACCTAGATTTCCTTTAAATATCTTACTACTTTGCTTAAATAGATAACTAAGGTCAAGTGTTTGACAATTCCGAAACCAAGCTCTAGATCCAATTCTTCTAACTTTAAACAAACTTTTAAGTTTCCAGAAGGGGCCTTGCAGTCTCAGGATCTCTCTTTTATAAAAAAGAGAACAATTAAACTAGGTTTACTTGATGTTCTGAGAAGCCTTGTCAAATACTAAAATATGAAACCTTTAGTTTGTATTTGTCACAGGTGTTATTCATGAGCTGTAGAAGATTCCTCAATGTCTGGTGTATCCAGGTATGTCATCAGTCATAATTGTATTATACTTAAACATGTGCCACAGCAAATTAACAGCACCTTAGCTGAGACTTTCTTTTCAAATGTTTACTTTGACTCTTGGAGATAAAAGGTATCTATCATCTCAGTCTCAAACTACTTCTTCCAGGATGTTTACATTACACAGGTGTCCACATAGTCTTAGAATCACTGTCTTAGTGCTTCTACACTTATCACCAAATGGGTAGGCTCACTGCCATCCCAGACAAGTCAGAACAAGAACTCATTGTGAGTGAACTGGTATTTTAAATTCTTTAAAACAACTAAATTTTGCTGGTTTTTTTTTTTTTAAGGAAATCTTTTCCCTTTCTCCAGCTTACTTTGTAAAAGGTGAAAATATGTATCTTTCTCCTTCCTGATTTTTCAAGAATATATAATGGTACTCTGCATTTTCATGTGAAGGCCAGAGTTTCCTCAGGTGTCACTTTAAAAAAAAGGATCTCTTACCAATTAGACTTAGGGTAGATAGCTAGCTAACCCCAAGAATCCATATCCCCAGCACTGAGATAGCAAGCACTACCTACATCCGCCTTTTACGGAGATTCCAAAGGTGGAGTTCAAGTACTCACATTTGCAGGGTAAGCCTTTATCAACTGAGCCATTCCCTCAGCTCCAGGTAGACTGAATAACTTTAGTAACGAAGGGTGATTCCATGGTAGCAAGGTCTTGTGGGAAGAACTGGCCTGGCTCCTTAAATATATGGGTGGCTGCCTCACTATGACAAAGTAGGACTTTCGAAGCCACAGGGCTTTTTGAAGAGGGAGCTATCCAAACCCACAGGTGCTGCTGGCAAAAATCTGTGGTACAACTTGGATGTGGCTGCCTGGTCTAAATATACTTTCAAAGTCTAACCTGAGATTCTGAGAACAAAGTCCTGGTGTCACACACACAGGAGCCTGTCAGTACTGTTTTGCTGCATGGTGTAAACCAACAGACCACTGGTAAATAGATCTGGCCTAACTTTGTCTGAAATTGTAGGGTTTTTTTCAGAAGCTACAGTGTACCCAGCACCAGGCCTATCTGTTCTGAGGTTTAGTACCCAAGATCCAGAGTGGATCCCAAATTCTTTCCTTTATTCTTTTAGGACCACTTTTTATCCGGTACCCCAAATGTTTTCTAACCCTTCTGAAGTCACTAAGCCATTTCTTAGCTCTGCCAGTTGCAGCTGCACAACATGACGAGACTTCCGAGAAACCAAACCTCACAGATGGGAAACCCTTGTGACTTCAGTCCAAAGACCAAAAGCCTATGGGGAGGGGACTATGGGAAGAGTAGACGGGAAGACGAACAACGCTACATGCTGTCCAGAGTTGCTGGCTGTCCCCAGCTTCCAGCTCTGACAATGAGCAGATGCAATCAGGAGCTCTGTGGGCATTGTCTGGACATTTCAGCCTGAGTAGGACACATTGCCTGTTCTGAGTCCATCAAAGCTGGGAAGAGCCTCCTCCTCCTCCAACTTGTTCAGGAGTAAGGGCAGCATCCCACAAGCCACCTGGATACCCTGAGGGCAGGCAGGAGGGAGGCTCAGCAGTCAGAAGCACAGGCCTCAGTTCCCTAGGGAGAGTGCTTTGTTTATGACAGAAGGACTGCTGTGCCACACCTAAGACTCCTTAGCTTGCTGGCTTCAGCAGCCCTCCATGGTCCCTATGCCCTCTTACCCTAAGGCTAGACTACTTGTGGCTAGAATCCTCTCAGTCTGTGCTCGTATCCCCAACCTTTGGGAACCATTCATGCAGCAAGGCCATCTACCAGGTTCCTGCGTAGGTACAGGGTCTCTACAGCTGAGAGCTCCCAAACTAAGCTAGAGGCCCAGCCTCCCCTGTACTGTCTGCCTAGTGGCTAACTGCTACCCTCGGCTCTCCAGAAACAGAGGTAGCCCAGCTTCTTGGGCCGGGCCCACTAGAGAGGTTATCTCACCAGATCTGGGGATATGACTGGGAAGGGTCTCAAAGGAGCTGGCAGGAAGACCCGGGAGCAGTGAAGCACCCAGCAAGAAGAAAGGCTGGATTCAGTAATATCTCAGACACACCATGGGGAGGACGGCTGCTGGGGGTTTATTTTCTGCTTGGTGCAAGGCACAGTTATGGGGTTAGGAAAGCTCAGTGCTGTGAACCAAGAGGGGGCTCTCTCCAGCTCCTGCTGGTGTCTGTTGCTTGCCGCAGCCTTCCTAGTTTACATGAGGGGGGGCGGGGGTGGAGGGAGCCTCTGGCCTAGCACCACTTAAGTGAGTTTGCTGTGGTTCTGCTAGGTCAGGACGGGGCCCTCGTGTTGGGCTGGCAGGGATGGACGACTGGCTGCTGCTTCACGGTTTCCGGAGCCAGGCCACGGGTGATCGGGCTTCTGGAGGCCTGGGGGGATTCTGCCGAGCTGCAGGGAGAGCATAAATCATGGGTCAGAAGCTGGTTTAACTGGGACCACCCCTACAACCTTATGGAAAATGGACTCACTGCTCAGGAGACTCCAACACTGTGGCCATGAACGGGAGGGTAGACTTCCCGAAAAAGAAGCTGGCCCACCAGTGGCCAGGGTCGGCCTTGGGGAGACCTGAGAGGAGCAAAGGAGGGTCAGGATGTTGCAATGCCAGTGGGGTGCTGTCCCTCTCCACGCTTCCCCCACCTCAGGATGTGAACTTTGCCCTTATGCTGGATGGTTCTGCACTCACCCGGGGGGTGGGGCACGGCGTCCCCGGGGTACTCTGCACTTCCGCAGGAGCTGTTGCTGGACGAGGAGCCCAGGCGTCCTGGGGAGGGGAGGCGGGTCAGCCACAGGGCCCTGGCCCACAGCTCTGGGCGGGGCCGGCGAGGGTCTACTTACGCCGATAGTAGTCATGGGTAGCCACGAGCGAGCCGCTAGAAGGGATGGCTGCCATACTTCAGGACCCGCGCGCGGTGGAGCCCTGAGAAAAATGTAGGCCTGGTTACCGCACACCCGAGTGGACTCCGAGCCCTCCGGCCCTGTCAGCCGCCGGGCTTCCGGGTGGTTCCAACCAGCTCAGGCCGGCTGCGCGATGAGACAAAGCCGCTTTGTACGCACTCGGCCCCTAGAAGGCGCGCGCCTCCCCCACCGGCGGCCACCACCTCCATAACTACCGCCGCCCTCACCTCGGCGGCAACCCCTCCTCGCGGACCTCGGTGCACGATCACGGGTGGTAATGCGTGGGGCACTACGCTGCAGAACCCATTTGCAGGGATAACCCACCGGACACCCCGACTCCACGAACCGCGCGCGATGCGCACGCGCATACTTACTCGCTGGCTTGTGAAGGCAACAGACGCATCATGGTGGGGCGGAGCGAGCGTCGAGGCCCCGCCTCCATCACGGCCGCCCCATCCTTGAGATCTTTGAGCCCTCCTGACCCCTATTAGATCCGCCCTAGCACGATGAGGTCCCGCCCTTCTTTCTTTTAGACTTCACTCCGAGCCGAGCGAAGATCCGCCCCACCTTCTGCAATGCAGGTTGCACCTTGGCCCAAACCGCCTTGACCAAACATCAGCGATCCACCTCTAGGCAAAGTCCAGCTCTGCTGCTTTTTCCTCTTTGTTCGGACTGGGAGCACCTGGCCCCAGATAAAAGTGGTTGAAGAATCTCCTGCGGGACCTGTGCCCTCAGTCTGTGCCACCCCCTCGGACGTGGCCTCACGTAGCCTAGCCTTTCTAGTGTTCTTTTCCCCTTACTTGCTGTTGTTCGCTGCTTGCGCCGGTCCCGGCAGGCTTTGTTTTCCAAGTGCCTCACTCCGACTCTGGCTGAGTGGGTCTGTCTAACTCACATAAGTAAGCACAAAGGGCAGCTGCCCCCGCACGCGTCCCTGCATCGCAATCTCTGTATTCTGGCGCACTGGATAGTGTCTGGAGCCCCCAAGCTGCCCTACAGGGACTACTCTGCTCTTGGGAAGCTGAGGAGTCACCCGTGTCCCTTCCAAGTCGTGGTTCTCACTATTCATTAGTCCCAGCCTGTGTTCTGTTGCTGGAAGCTAAGGTTGCCTGGGGGCGGGGAGAGCGGCGAGCAGCGGCAGTCTCTAGTAGCTAGCACCAGGCAGAGTGCTGCACTATTGCACTATTGGTCAGACCTGTGTTTGGGGGAATCGAGTGCTTGGAGCTCTGGGGCTGGCCAGCATACCCTGGCCTCCTCTCCTTTCCCAGGCAGTTTTCTGCCAGACCCCCACGGGGATTGGGAGGACCACGAGCCAGCTTTTGCAGCATGCTTCTCCTATAATCAAAGATGCTAGACTTGCTTTCGTGGGGGTTCAGGGAGAACCTAGACTAGTAGGACCCCAGGAGTGCTCTCGGGTCCCCAAGGTCTCAAGGAGGCTTTGGCTGACACCCTTTGCTTGGATTTGTTGAGACCTACTCTGCAAACATTGAGCCAGGCATGGGAAACCAGACAACAAGTGACCTAGTAGGGGTTCTGGTTTAGAGGCAATAAGGGAGAGGGATAAGGCATAATGAAAGAGAGGTGAGGCAGTTGACATCACAGCAGCAAAAGTGGATAAGGCCACTGATAAGGCAGATCGGCCAGTCTAGGTGACATCAGGAAGAAGAGACTTCTGCTCATACCAGGCTTGCTTCACAGCTTCAGGCTCTGTGTGGGCATTTCCCATGGTTATTAGCTGTTTCTTCTAGTGAAGCCTTCCCTCTGGAAAGGAAGTAAGGAATCTCTCAAGAAAACAAGAGAGTTTCTGGGGGTGGGGTGGTTGTGGTGCACGCCTTTAATCCCAGCACTGGGGCAGAGACAGGTGGACCTATGTGAGTTCCAAGCCAACCTGGTCTACAGGCTAGTTCCAGGACAGCCAGGGCTATACAAAGAAACTCTGTCTTGAAAAATCAAAAACCAAGGGCTGGAGAGATGGCCCAAAGGTTAAGAGCCCTCTTCTGGCATGCAGACAGCACACTGTATCCATAATAAACAAATAAACAATAAATTAAAAAAAAACACAGAGAATACAAGAGCACTGTTACAGGAACTCACAAGACGTTTACCAACTCCCTCCAGGTTACATAAAGAGAAAACACTTGCTGGAGATGGGGGATGCTTCAACAGAGTTGCCTACAAGCTGGGAACCCAAGTCATGCAGCTTTCATGACTTGTCACCCAGGCTGATGTGAGCCTTTGGCGATGCAGCTGCTTGGGCCACCTACACTTTTGTAAGTCACCCTTCATCCATTTTAATAGTTTATTTTCTTGTTGTTATGTCAAACTACGTGACAGAAGGGACTTGAAGTGTGCAGTCATGGGACACCATGGCAGCAGGAATGGCAGGCATCTTGGTCTGCAGTTAGGAAACAGAAAGAGAAATGCTCAGCTCACACACACACACCCTTTTGTTTATTCAAGAACACAGCCCATGGAATAGTACTGTCCACATTTAGGAGATGTCTTCCCATCTTAGTTCCAATCTAGAAACTTCCTTACAGACATGCTCAAAGGTTTGTTTCCATGGTGATTGGAAATTCCATCAAGTTAATAGTTAAGATTAACTATCACACCCATGCTTTTGCCAGTAATTCTAATAAACTCACTGGTTCACAAGCTAGACTTGGGATTTTCTCTTTGGTCTGTCATTGATGGGTGAACAGATGTTTGTTCATGTTCCCCAGGAAAAGCCATGCAACACCTGTGTGGTTCAGGCCAAGGCTAGAGAGACCAGGCTGAGGGAAGGAACTGTCGGGACCCAACTGCAAAGAACTTTGGAAGAAGGCGTCCTACACCTTGCACAGACCTGAGATAAGGTCAGGAATTGGGACTCACACTGTCCATTTATCTGCCCTGATTCAGGGCACGATGGTTACTCAGCAGGGACACAGATGGGTCAGATGTGAGTGTGCCACCTCTCGGGGTCCAGGCAACATACATAGTGCTGTCCCAGAGTGGAGTGGAGGTAGAGGACAGTCAGGGGAGAAGAGGGCTGATCTAGCTATTCATCAAATAGGTCCTGATGTGTGCTGTACACAGTGGAGGGTCAGAATGTAGAGATGCATTCACTGAAGAAGCAGCTGCTGCCCTTGGCACCTCAGGAAATGGAAGTTGAGTAAGACCAGCCTCAGCACCTGCATAGCGTATGCAAAAGTCCTGAGCCTAGCAGAGACTGTAGTACATTGGTCCATTAAGGAGGTTGGAGCCAGGTCCCACCTCCTGTTCTGCCTTGACTACTTCCCACAGAAAACAGGGAATGTGTGCAGCTTGTGGTCACTTACTGAGCCTCACAGCCTGTGTTGTCCTGTCCTGGGGATGTACAGCTTCTCTGAATCTGCCCAGTGGGACTAAGGTCGTGTCCCACCTGGGGCCTTTCTAGATGTCTCAGGGCTGGGCAGTTTGGAGGTGCAGTCTTCTCCTGGGGTTGGACAGGTTAAAACTGTAGAAATGCTATGCCCACTTTCTACTAGGAAGGAGCTCCCCCTATAGGATCCTCTTGGGAACAGAGTTTGTGGTCCAAGGTGTAGATTGTGGGTGAGCACCTGGGAAAGGAAAGAAAAGGGACCATGAGAATTTCCCACATTGGGCCAAGCTAGCTAGCTGCCTCACTTGGATGGATGTGGCTGGCGGGGACCTTCAGTGGGGACCTGCTGATTATTCTCCGCTGGGCAATAAGGCCTTCTGTATCTCCCAGGCCACCCTTGGCTGCGCTCTGGGCCTGCCTAATCATCCCACCTCATTCTCAGTCCCACCTATCAGCATCTGTAGTAGAGTCTGAAGTGAGTCTCTTTCATCTGTCTGTCTCTATGTGTGTGTATCTGTCCCTATCATTCCATCACCCTTTCCCTCCATTTTCCCTTCCTTCCCTACCTCCCTTCTGTAGCTTGAGTTTTCCTGCCTTGCCCACAGTCAGGACAAATCTCTGTCACCCGCCAGTCCCACAGCCGCTCAGACCCAACCAAGCAAACACAGAGACTTATAT